CATCAATATTCTGGCTGTAAGAGCGTATGGTGAATCCGAATTCTGGCTCTCGGGCGGAAAGGTCATTCTGATCTTTGCCTTGTTCTTGTTCACCTTCATTACTATGGTGGGCGGGAACCCCCAGCATGATGTCTACGGTTTCGTCAACTGGCAGAGACCGGCCGCCTTCTTGGAGTATTTGAGCGAGGGCAGCCTGGGTCGCTTCGAAGGTTTCTTGGGAGCCCTGTGGTCAGCCTGCTTCACTGTTGTGGGACCCGAGTATATCTCCATGGTATCGGCGGAAGCCATGCGGCCCCGAGTCTACATCAAGAGCGCCTTCAAGACGGTTTACTTCCGATTTTGCCTCTTCTTCGTCGGTGGCGCGCTAGCTGTAGGCATCGCGTGCTCTCCAAGGGATCCGGCTCTGGAGAACGTCGTCCTCGGCAAGGTCTCTGGTGCCACTGCATCGGCTTCACCATATGTGATCGCCATGGGGAACCTCGGTGTTTCGGTTTTCCCTCACATTGTCAACGCGTCAGTAACACCGGGCGAACCAAGGCCAGATCGGACAGGTGGATCAAGTTCAATGCTGACGGTGCTTTTAGTCTCCTGTTGACCTCGATCTTTTCCGCCGGCAACACCTACACCTACTGCGCCATTCGTACCCTCTATTCGCTCGCGCTTGAGGGGAGAGCCCCGAGAATCCTCACCTACACCACCAAGAAGGGTGTACCGATCTACTGTTTCTTCGTCGTCATGATTTTCCCGTTGCTTTCGTTCCTGCAAGTTTCGAGCAACTCATCAGTTGTGATCACTTGGTTTGCTAGCCTTGTCACAGGTGGAGGTATATCCCCCTGCTCTCTCTCCCCTTTCAGTTTATCCCTATTGGAAAAGTGTTGCTAACACAAAATAACAACATCCAGGCCTCATCAATTACATCGTCATGACCACGACCTTCATCTTCTACTACCGCGCCTGCAAAGCACAGGGTGTCGATCGCAAACAATTCTCATACGTCGGCTGGTTCCAACCGTACTGCGCCTATCTAGGGCTCGCCTGGATGACCACCGTGGCCCTCCTGTACGGCTACCCGTCATTCAAGCCCTGGTCGGTTTCGACCTTCTTCTCCAGCTACACGATGCAGATTTTCATCCCTCCGCTCTTTATCATCTGGAAGGTCGTGAAACGGACCAAGTTCGTCAAGCCGCACGAAGCCGATCTCGTCTGGGAACGCCCGGTCGTCGACGCCTACGAGGCAACCTTTATCGATCCCCCGGTCGGCTTTTGGCGCGAGATGGGCCAGCTCATTGGCATCGGGAGGACGAAGGGCGGGAACGAGAGGCGGGTTGCACAGCCTCAACAGAGCCTTGATAATAGCTCAAACAAGAGTGGCAATGCGTCACCTACGGTCGAGGCCTGAGAGATGGTTGGGAAGACCGAAGGCAGTCGGGGCCAGTGTTTTCGAGCATAGAAAGTAGCTGACACTGCATCAACGCGAAGTAAGCTTCTTCGAGCATCTTTTACTGTGGACATAGTGGCGTGCGGCACGTTATGGGACAGGTACAGCGAGCTCTTATAGCAGCAATGTAGCTAGCGTATGTATGTGCTAGAATTCCATGGTACCCGGTTGGGGGTTGGCGAGGTACCTACCTACCTAAGGTAGCCAGTCTATGTTAACATGGTTTATTACCCTTTTAGCTTTTTGACCCATGTTGGCCCTGCGGACCCTGTATTATCCTGTAGTGCCATTAGTGCCGTTTGTTACGGATAGCACCCTCGCTGCCTGTATATATAGCCCTTTGGGTCAGTACTAACCATGATGCGCCACAATACTGGCTTTCGATTGACAACTGAGCAGCGAGAGGTTGTTCTTTAGGCAATCTGCGGGGGCGAATGAGATGACTCGAGCCGGTCAGCCAAACTTGGGAAAGTGTTTGAGGAACATGGCGGGAAAGGGTCTGATGAACATAGCAAGCTGGCAAGACCTTCCCGCCGGCTAGCATCGTCGCGCTCGATGGGAGAGGGGCCACAACGGTGAACTTCTACTCGTCAGGCTGCATACCTATACACCAGGTGATCAACAGGATATCTAGGTACCTATCTTCGAAAACGGTGCAACGACCGACTACTTAGCGTGTGTTATCCACTGAGCCCACCGGACATAGCCAAACGCCGATAATTCCGCGCCAAGTTTTCATTAACCCTTGCCGTTATGATCCTTCGCGTTGCTACAAGACAGATACATCACCGGTGCTTCTTAGGTAGTACAAAGGGACACCAGTTACAGCGTACCATCAAACATTCCCTGCTTCATCACCCAGCGCTGTCCACCGCCAGCATGACGGACATGTATCCTCATTATCTCCCCTCTCTCAGCGAGCGCGATGCGATCGCCGACGCCTTATACCGGGTCGCCATCGGTTGTGACCGAAACGACGTCCAGCTCTTCAACTCGGGGTGGGCCGGGGAAGACGTGTCCTTCGAGATACACCGCGACGACGAGACAGTGGTGTCGAATCTCTCCGTTATCCGCGAGAACATCCTCAAGATAGTTGGTCCCATGGATACCACCCACAACGTTACCATGGTCCGTGTGAATTTGAAGGATGGCGCCGACACTGCCACTCTGACTGCGATGTCCACCGCCCATCATAGCGCTGCCGGCATGGGCAGGAATCCGACCGGTCCCAAGTACATTGCCGGCGGGGAGTACTTGGCCGACCTCACCAAGGATGGATCGGGCGTGTGGAGGATCAAGAAGCTAGTGTTGCGTGTTATCTGGACGAAGGGAGATCCTTCAGTGGTGTGGCCGGAGTCAGAGGCAGCTGCATAAATGGTGGATCATTGGTGTATGGAAGGCCCCGGGGTCCTTTGTCTTCGACCTAGTATCGACGACAATACGATGGGCACCTCCCCGCCAGCACCTCTTCTTCCTCTGGGTACAAAACCCAGCACCTCTCCCCGGCCAGGGAGATCCACACTGTGGTGAGGGGGACGTCCAACGAGCTCCGCCGAGAGCTCCGCTTACCGCAACGTGCTGGGGAGACCTACGGCGCCAGGGGTGCCGAGGGAGGGAATCGGGGGTGGGCGGGTGAGGAATCAGGAGTGGGGAGTAAAAGTCGGGCAAAGCGTCATGGAAGTGCACGCATCGTGTAGTGTGGTTAATAACAGTATAAGAGACTTTTCTCCGGAAGTTCTCCTATTTCCTATCCAAACGTGAAAATAACTGAAAGCAAGAAGTGGTGCGACGAGCCAGCGCCTTCTAAGATGACAAGGTGTTTTACAGCACATAACCCAAGGTGACTAAGGGCAATCCATGGTGACATGGCAGGGAGGAATAACGGTGTTTGCATTTTGCCCTTAACCTATTGCCCATCCAACCCCTTACGCCGCAGCAGTGCAAAGAGCCTCGATGTTGTTCCCCGCCGGATCCAGCACAAACGCAGCAAAATAGGTCGGTCCGTAATGCGCCCTCACGCCCGGCACACCATTGCACTTCCCCCCGGCAGCGACCGCCGCCTGATGAAAAGCCTCGACTCCCGCGCGATCTACGCCCCAAACCATATTAGCCCACATCCACCACCCCCAACACAAAACCAAGCAAAGAAAGAACTACCCACCCTTCGCCGCAAACGCAGTATGCGTCGGCAAGATACCCTCCCCACCGTCCACGCCCGCGCCCTCCGCAGCAGGGGCACCGAACGACACGGCCGCCGACGAGGTGATCCACCAGTCGATGGCGCCGGACGCGTCGGCGAATCCGACAACCAGGGCGTCCTGGAAGACCATGGCCCTGGTGTAGCCGAGCGGGGCGAGCGCGGCTTCGTACCAGGCGACGATGGCGGTGTGCTGGGCCGCGGGGACTTTGATGCCGGTGTGGGAGATGGTCATTTTGGGTGGTGATGGGGTTGGTTGTGGTGGGTGTCGTTGTTGTGTTTACAAGTAGTGTTGTGGCGGATATTGGTATGGTGAAGATAGGATTGGGACGATGAGCCTTAGAGCGGGTGAAGAAGAGGTTTATATCTCTGACTTGGTGCTGGGATGCAGTTTCGTGGTTGATACCAACGCCATTGAGGGTGCATATTGTCCTTGGCATGTCGGCGGTCGGACCGTCCGGTCGCCCGTGGTCCGTTGCGCCCAGGCCTCCCTGACGACGGAGGATCGATCCTTCGTCGCGCGTCGCGTTGGATGATTGGGTTGGCGCAAAGCCTCTGACGCGTGATTGACGCAAGATCCCGTGCACACATGGCTGAGTCACCGGCAAAGCATTCTCGGGGGCTGGGCGGAAAAGGAGTACCTTAATTCAGGGGCTCCGAGGTCCGTCGATCTCCGAGAACTCTAGACCGGGCGTATGCAAACACTCGGACAACCTCTTCTCGACCTGGGCTGGAAATTTTTGTTAGTTCAAGTTCACGTAATCATCCAAAGTCCGATCGGTGTTTCGAGTCTTGAAGTTCCGTCCGGCCAGGGGCCCAAGACTGGGGTTGGAACTTTGACACCTTTTGGTCTTCAAACACTTGCCTCAACTTAACTGCAACGTTCCAGCCCATTGGCCTCTGGGTTGGGATTTAAAGTCTCAGAACAACGATTGAGGAACACTTGCCGCCACAGGCTTTACTTGGTGCACTGGCGGCGCCAGGGAGCAGCACGGATACGGCATGTCAGTGCAGAATGAACTTCGTGGACTGCATTTGTATAAGCAGCTTAACAACACAGAAATACATGGACACTACGATTACGGGATCTCGGTTTATTCCTGGACCAAAATTGGCCAATTTCTTCCAAATCCTAACCGCCGTCACTCACACTCCCTGGTTCTCAACCACTACATGCACATGCGGTGAACTGAATCCTGCTACAATACCCGCCAGCACGGAATCCGACGTCCACCATCTCCAGCAGCATCGGGCTGCTCGCTCGCACATCAGACGAGTGGTGTCGAACTGCCAAGCGTCCAAAAGAAATATGTGGACATCGCGGAGCCACAAAGTCGCCGTCCAAGATCCACCGGCAAAAGTAAACGATCAGACTGGGATTCGAACCCAGAACCTTTACCACGTTCCAATGGACCGGAAAGTAACGCGCTACCCTTGCGCCATCCAACCTGTTGATTGGTTGGTTGTTCTCGAGGTTGTGAATATGTTGTGGCGGAACCAACATCGACGAACTTGTGGTGGCGTTGCAGGTAAAACAGGAGTGACCGTGCCCGCTGCGCGCGGGCACGCCAAAGGAGCCTGGAGGAACTTGCCGGTTGCAGGTAGGCCCCATAGCGGAGTTAACGATGTAATTGTATATTTTTTTTCCATTTCATCATGGTTATTTACGAATGCTGGGAAAGTAAAGAAAGGTGGTTTCTCCAGTCAGACTAGCGTCTAATCGTACAGTCGCGCCCTCTTTTTTCCTGCTGTAGACCTCTTGCTTCTGATCGGCTCGGGAGAGGTTTGCTTTTTTCTCTTTTTTGTTGGGGTGGTGTCAACCGGAGCGCGTTGATCTTCCAACAACTGCTCTGTGTCTGAACCGTCGTTGGTGTGATCGGTATCTTCTTTGTGGTTAGCCTAGTTGGTGAGCTGGAAGGAAGTCATACCTGAGCTTGAAATTGCAAGCACTGGCTCGGCGTTGGTTGTGGTCGAGTTCGGTGGTGCTTCAAGGACATGTTCCGTATGAAAGACGGCCTCCACACGCTGCTCCTGACGGGTGCCAGCGGCAACGCGGCCGCGCTGATCGGCGGGGTGACGCTGCACTCGGCGACCAACATTGGATTCGAGGGCAAGAACGAGGTTGCAAGGAACATATCGGAAGAAGAAAAGCTGCGTTGGAAAAATATGGTCATGTTGATCGTCGATGAGATCAGCCAGGTGGGCGGGCTCACGCTCGCGGCGGTAGACAGCCGTCTGCGGCAGTACAGGGACGACCAGCATCGCCCGTTTGGTGGGATCCCAATGGTCCTGTTCTTCGGCGACTTCTTCCAGTTCGACCCCGTTCTGCAGACCAGCCTCCTCTTGCCAATGCCTAGGGACCGCGGCGGACAGAGACCAGAGAGCGCTGCAAGGCACCTAGCTGCACATAAGCTGTTCCTCCAGTTCACCACCGTTGTCATCCTCCGCGAACAGGTCCGCGCAGCCGGCTGTCCAAAGCTGCGGGGCTTCCTTCGGCGCCTGCGCAATGGCGAGCAGACCGAGCTAGACTTCCAGCGGCTATGCCACCGCGTCTATACACCGTCGTGCAAGTCCTCCTTCGTAGATGGTTTGAGAGCCATTACGCCTCTGAACCAAGACCGGTGGGACCTGAACATGGCCGCCGTTGTCCAGTGGGCTCGTGCCCACGGCAGACACATCTCCATCTTTGTGGCCAAGCATGACACCGATTCGGGGAAGCGACTAAGTGTGGAAGAGCTGTGCCGCGTGCTTCGCTACGGAGACGATTCCCAGCTGCCAACCCCGGGCCTGTTCTTCTACGCTCAAGGGATGCCGGTGGTGGTGACTCGGAACCAGTTTGTCGGGCTAAAGGTGGTCAACGGCGCACCTTTCAAGGCCGTCGACATCTTTCCCGACCTTGCTGCCGGCACCATTGCCCTCGCCAGTGACGTGACTCTTCATCTTGGACCGCCGGTGGCCGTCCTCCTTCAGTCAGACGATAGCGCGGACCTCGCCATCCCCGGGCTCCCTAACGGCACCATCTTGATCAAGAGCAAGACGGTCGCCATCCCGAGCCAAATGCGGGGGAAGGAAGGCAGATGGAGGGGCAAGCCGGGTTTTCGGCGGGTTACCCATAGAACAGGACCTCTTTGTACGCCGGCCTTCGCCATGACAGATCAGAAGAGCCAGGGAAAACAATTCTCGGACGTCCTCGTCAACCTCAAAGGCGTCCACTTTGGCGGCACGGCGACTCGACCTAGCTTCATGAGCCTGTATGTGCAGCTGTCGAGGGCGCAGAGCTGGGACGGGCTGCATCTGTTCCGGAAGCCGGCGCGCGGTGACTTTATCGAGCCGAAGAACGTGCTTGATAAAGACATGAAGGCGGCAATCCTCAAGCTGGAACGACAGGGCGAGGAAACCAGACGGCGGTTCGAGCAGGACCACAGGCACGAACCGTGGTTCCAGGAATGGGACGCCATGGCCGAATTAGCGCAGGCCACTGAAGCAGCTGACGAAGATGCGGGTACGTCGCTCTAGTAGTAATAGTCAACCCATAATAGATGTCGACCCTAAAACCTCATTTTCGCCACTTTTTGACAGAAACTTGATATCTTGGTTCGTGATTGTCGAGGATTGCGCGACGGAGGCACACAAAGGCACGAGTGAAGCAGCGAGTCACAGGGGCCCTGATGCCAATGTGGGGGTAAGCGGCTTTTTTCTGGCGATCTGATTGGCCAGATCAAAGCAACAACGGTCCGTGCACCTCCACCGCCAAGTCCAACCGCGAGATGCTAATTCGATGAAGCAGAATGCAGATGACGCCAGACGTCGAGATGCTCGAGAGAGAAGTCGAAAAGGAGAAAAAGCCAAAATTCTACAGTGAGAAGTCGACAGTACAGGTTAGAAATGACACCGTTTTTCAGGCTTGTTTTAGTGGAGAAAAAACTGGTCCGTGCTTAGAGCAGGCCATGGCATTTTCGCCCTAAGGAACCTGGAGTTCCTCCAGGCATACAGGTGCGCAACAGGACTGGGAAAATGCCCTGGTTGGCAAATTCTTGCTGCTCAGTGGTTTATAATAATCAGTTAACAGGTACGGACATAAAGCAGATGTGTGGAAAGTGTCGTGTCAAGGTAATGTGGTTCACCCGACGGTTATGTTCAAACTCCCCGTTTAACGCTACTCAGATTCCATTCTTTTACCCTCGCATATCCTCCCTACGACTACCAAAGCTACCTGATGAAGAAACTAACACCGCAACCAAGCCTATCATCTGAATATGCCTCCCTACTTGCTGCTCGACGGTACCGACCGAAACAAGTCGACCAACCCCTCCGCCATCGTCGGATGCACAATCGTCAAGTCCACCAACTCTCTATACGACAACCCCAACTTCATCACCAATTGCACCACCGGCAACAACTCCCCCGCCCCCGGCCCCAGCGCCGTAAACCCCAAAATCCTCTCCCCTTTTTCCTCCACCAAAGCCTTCGCAAACCCCTCCGTCGCCCCCAACGCCCGCGCCCTCAAAAACGCCCCCATCGGCGCCCTCACCACACGATACCCCACCCCCTTCTTCTTCGCCTCCCCCTCCCGCAGCCCCACGTGCGCCAGCTCCGGCGTCGTAAACAGCACCGACGGCACCTGCCTCCCCGCCGTCCCCGTCTCGCGCGGCGCCCCCGTCAGCACCCCGAGCAGCACCCGGTAGTCGTCCCACCCCATGTGCGTGAAGTAGGGGCTGCCCGCGCAGTCGCCGCCGGCGAAGACGCCCGGGACGGAGGTGCGCAGTTGGGTGTCGACGGCGATGTGCCCGGTGGGGGTGAGCGTGATGCCCGCGGCGGCGAGGCCGATGTTGGAGGTGTTGGGGGTGCGGCCGGCGGCGACGAGCAGGTGCGTGCCGCTGATGGTGGTGGGGGCGGTGCCGGGGGTGGGGTTGGAGAGGGTGAGGGTGACTTCGGAGCCGGAGGTGCCGCTGACGTGCGTGACGCTGGTGGAGGTGAGGAATTCAATGCCCTCGCGGGAGAGGATGCGCGTCAGTTCGGTGACGACGTCGCTGTCTTCTTTGGCGAGGATCTGGGCGTTGCGCTCGATGACAGTGACGCGCGAGCCGAAGCGCGCGTAGGCTTGGGCGAACTCGATGCCGACGTAGCCGCCGCCGAGGATGATGAGGTGCGAGGGCAGGGTCTTGATGTCGAGGAGCTCGACGTGGGTGAGGGGGTTTGCGTCCGCTAGGCCGGGGATGGTTGTGTCGACGAAGGCCTTGGAGCCGGTGTTGATGAGGACGGTCTCGGCTGTGAGCAGGCGGCCGTTGCAGCTGATGGTCTTGGGGCCGACGAGTTCGCCGTGGCCCCGGATCAGCTCGGCCTTGGTATCGGCAAAGATTCCGAGAAAGAGGTCTGCCATGCCGTCGACTACTTCCTGTTTCCGGGTGAACACTTTGGCCATGTCTGCCTTAAAGTCGCTGCTGGCAGCTCCGGGTGCGGAGGCCTGGACCTGGCGTGCGAGGTGAGCCAGTTGAGCCGAGTGGAGGAGTGTCTTGGTGGGCATGCAGGCGACAGTCGGGCAGGCGCCAGAGATAGGACCATGCTCAATCACGGCGCATTTCTTTCCATGCTTTGAGGAGAGATCCCAGGCCAGGAGTTTGGCCGGCTCCCCGCCGCCGAGGGCAATGAAGTCGTACTGTTCGGGGGTTGCCATTGTGTGGAGGTGATCAGGGACCTTTCAGGTTCTTTCAACGGAGCTGCGAAGGGATTTGAGGGTGTGAGATCGGTTCGGCTTTCTTGTTGATGTTGCGGGTTAATAATTGTAAGTTAAGAAACACAACAAGGCTGGATACAAGACCTTATATGCCTACATGTCGAGAACAGACGGCGGCGAGTCCCGTTCAAGTGCCACTCTCAATGTCTCCATCGTGCCGGTGCTGCAAGCGTTTGGAATCATCGTGCGGCAGGTCCACGCTCTAACAAACAAGACCGCCCTTGACGTTGATCTGTCACCAACTTCATTTTTGCCTGTCCCAATTCAGATCCAAGCATTGAGCCGATCCGTGGCGTGTTTGGAATTTCCAAAGTTTGGCCCACAAGTCTCAAGAAGCGTGGTCCTATTCGCTGAACCTCTTTGGAATCTTCTCAGTCGGAACCACACCCGCCTCCCATTGATTGGTCGTCTTCTTTCCATGCAGCCCCCAGAGCAAACGATTACCTAAGGGTGCGACGTTCGTGGGGAACGAGCAGACGTTACACAACAGGAAACTCCGAACGGTGTAATATAAGAGTCGAGTCTTTTCGGAGATCCCAGAAAGCTTACTCACGCTCCCGATTCTTCTCCGAACCCTGCTCCTCGGCGAGTGGCGTTCGGTATTCGGGCACCGATGAACTGCATTCGACATTGGGGGACACCCATGAGTCCTCCTGACACCACGCAAGCACACACTCGCCATGGTTTGCTCACCGAAACAATGAGCCCAGCCAGG